CCTTCTTGGTGGACTCCACCGGATGCTCGCCTGTTACTTTCCGCTCTCCGTCTCTGGTCTGAGTGGATGATTCTACACCCTGAACATTGGCTCCCGCCTCCCAACCACCGTGACCCGACCCTAAGACCGTATCTGAATGACTGGCAACTCGTTGCAGAATTATGCACCCGTGCCGCGAATTGGCTCAATCGCAATTCTACCCGCCCAGAATACGAAGAAGTCAATCCAACCACATCCCTGGTGCTTCGGCTCAAAGGTATATCCGAGGGTGAGAACGAGGACGGAGAGAAGCAAAGTCGGGATCAGCTACAAGACTTTCAAGCAGCATTCCTCTTCGAGGAAGCTTACGTTGCGGGTTTTAAACCCATGTTGGACTTGGTGCCTAAGGTGAGTTTGTAATTGTTGACTTTGGCTTAGCAATATTTTCAGTAGTCTCATGTTTAATCCTGTCCAATGTGACCATCGGTTGCACCAGACCTTTGAGGTAAATCTCATCTTTGGATTTTTAGTGAATACTATTGGTATATTTGTCTCTGTAGTTCTCATGCATTGGAAAAGATGCATAATATTTTGAAGTTCATCCAAACGAGATTAATTGTAGCCTTGTGCCTCGGTACTCAGCTCCATGGAATTTATTCTCTCCATAATACTGGTTCTTAATATTAGTTCCATTTAAAGATTTGCCATTTTCACATTCGATTCTGTTGTTATAGCTCTATCGTTACACTGGCGACTGGGCTTCTGAAACGGTGGCTGACTTCGTTCGTATCGAGAAGTTGGTACTTTTTGGTGACTTTCTATGCGGTATTGAACCTCCCGTTTTGACGTATGATGTGAATCGTTCAGTTTACGAATCGGCCATTGAACGAGAATCTTCGGAACGGAAACAGGACAGACCACTGGAACCCAAGCATCTGAATAATTCACTTGATAGTAATGAAAGTACTCCCAGTTCCAATGAGAAAAACAAGGTGATGATTCTCAACATGATTTAATTTTTCGTGATTTTATATATTCTGTTTTTATTTCATCGATCTTATCATTATGTGATATCTGATGCATTCGAAATTATGAACGATAAGCGTTTTCGATCTCACTGCCTACTTGGAATATTTCCAGGATAATCAATGACTATTTGATGGAAAACAACTTCTTGCCATTGTATGTGATGATAGAAACTATGTAGATTCAAGGTGAAATGAAATATTGCTCGATAAAATGATATATTCCGCTTGGAACTAGTTTGGGCCGGTATTGGCAGTCTAGTGTGTTAGGTGATGGGCACTGACGTGCTCCCGGTCATGGGGTCTTATGTTATGAGCCTTTTACCGCTACCTAACTTTGGTGGTAGACAGCTTCGTTGTCGTTCAACTAAATACCAGGAGCAACTTTCAGGGCTTAGATTAACTGTCCCGACAACGGAATATTCGGCCCTTGTGAATATGAACCTCCATCCCTAATGTTGATTACACCGTGGTGTATAAGGAAAACAACTATACGAACAAACAATACCCAATTCCTGCTACTGTGATCGTGATTCAAAGCGCAATAAATTGAAACATTTGTATCATGTTCTCGTTTCACTTAAATTGGCCGTCTTCACTTATCCGCCATCAATTCTGGTCTCATTTGATAGGTTGCTAGCGCCTCTCAGAAAGTTGAAAGGGCACTGAGAAAACACCATTCTGTAAAATTTAGACATTGGAACCTAATCTATCAGTGCCGTGGAGTTATACACCTTTTAGACTTCGTTGCTCATCTGGCAACATGCTTGTTGTTAGTTTGGCATTATACATAGAAGTTAACTTATTTAACCTTATGCATCATCTGGTTCAATGGAGTTGTTTGTTCATAAAACGAGACTAATTAATCAGTTTTCCGTGTATTTTTATTGCTGTCACTGGTCTCATAATTTGCCTTCGGAATAATAATTGAATTTTATATTTGCGCACTTTTTCACTAAATTTCGCTTTCAGAAATAATACTAGTTCAAGATTTTATGAATATACCTTCCCCATATAATCCTCATATCATATTTTATTCATTAAGCCTGGAGTTTCTTCAGAGATGACGGATCTCAATGACTCGCAAGCATCAGCTGATATAGCAGCTCTCCAACTCAAACGGGCGTTACTCCAACGCCAACTGGAAGAAGAGGCCCGCCTGGCTGCCTGGCGGCGCAATGCAATAAGTCAGGCTGCCTCCGGCGGTCGTCGGGCAATTGAATTGGAGGTTCGCCCAATCTATCTTTTACCGGATACAAACTGCTACATCGATTGGCTCGAAGGAATAGCTACACTTGCTCAACGATCATCCAATTATACAGTACTGGTGCCGATTGTCGGTAAGTTCAAGCGTTTTTCTGTGAGGTTATTTTGGGCATTGGTTGCATATGTCATTGCTGCAAAAGGGGAATGCTCTTGGCCGATTTCGTCTTAAAAACAAGTAATGGCACACTTGTGCCCAGAAGCTAATTACGTAAAGTGTTTTATACAAATGCACTTTTCCCGAATGATAAACCAGAATTTTAACTACTGCTGTCTTGTTTAGAGTAATCAAGATTTCCGTCTCGAGTATGTTTAAACAATTGATATCATATGCTTGTTGCCAAAACTTCCCTATTCTCACCCTTCCCATATTATTTATACCAGTGCGAATTGCCAATGAAAGGTTAGAAGTGCCATGGGATACCTTGAGTAATTTCATCTAATCCAAAAATCACGTTTACTGCCCTCTTTTCAGTGGTAAACGAACTGGATACATTAGCTCGCTATGGAAGCAGCAGCAGCAATGGAAGTACCTGGCGTTCGGGTCGTCTTATCGAAGAAGATGGTGAAGTAACACGTGCAGGACTCATTCAAGAACGAGCTCATCAAGCAATCACATATTTGGAACACGAGTTTGCGATGCGCAACTCTCGCCTTCGAGCGCTT